TGCACTTGTAGCTTGTTGGGAGTATTAAGAGTAGTGGGAAAACTATATTGTTATTTTTTATCCCTGTGTTGTAAATTAAAGAGACCAACTCTGTTTTCTCCTTTTTCCATAGGATCCAGCATGGCTGAGGGAATAACCCAAATCCAGACAACACTAATCAGACAGGAAGGGAAAGCTGCAATCTTGTACTGTGTGTTTAATACCAGATGGACTATTTATACTGTGCTCTGGTACAAGCAGACTCCTAGTGGAGGGATGGATTTTCTTATTTATCATTAATATAGTAAGCCAAATGCAAAGCAGGATCACTACTCTGTGACCTTGAAAGAGCAAAAAAATCCACTAAACTACCACCTCTTCCTTACAACTGGTAGACTTGACAAATTACTTCTGTGTTCTCTGGGATTCCACAAAAATAGAAATGACAGTGGAAGATCAACAAAAACCTTAAAGCTCTAGAAAGGAAACCACCTGCAGAGGGTGAAAACCCATGAACAGATGACTGGATGACAGGATGAAGGCAGACATAGTTTAGACGTTATCATGTAAACTGTCTTTCTACAGAAAATGTCCCAATATTAACCTCAGCAAATAAAACAGCTTCCTTCCTTGAGATCCCAAGGATTATGTTTGCATCTTGAATTAAAAGAAGTCACAAGGGCTTGAACAAATCTTTTCATTTCCAGAAATTCAGGAACAGTTTACTGATCCTCATCTCATACTGACAGATATCCAAATATGAAATAGCACTAAAAATCATTCATTTTTCTCTTCCAAAGCATGCTGATTTTAAAAGTTAATATGTAAGTAATGGGATGATGGGAAAAGAAGCCTGAGTCAGAGAATAAAATAAACAGTGGGCAAAAGGCCTCTCTGCATTTGAGCACAATCAAACATCAAAGTCTTCATAATAACACAAAAATGAATGAGGTACATGCAATGAATAAACAACTGATTCTTTAATCCACTGGCGTTTTGGAGTAGATTAATATAGACATATAACCTATCATAACATATTTCAAAACACTTCAATGGGTTCACATTATAGCATATAATATATTGTGATTTAAAAGCTAAATGAAATAATAGAAACAATGAGACATTGTCACACACCAAACAAAAAGTTTAAAATTAAAAAGAAAGGCAAAACAAAATAGTGAAGAAAAATTGGATCCACCAGAGCAATTGAAGTTGTAAATTGATAATAGTAAAATTTTTTAAATAATAGCATTAACTTGTCAATTTGAATATATTCAGACTTAATGATGTGATTTCAATTCTCTTAATACTAAACACAAAGCGTACATCTATGTATCACAAGATGTATAAACGTGTTTAGAGAAATACTCTTCATGACAGTCAAAAATAAAAACAATACAAATATCCACTAAACATAAAATGAATAACTAAATGGAATCACCTAGGTACACTTCAGAAATGAAAACAAACAATCATATCTAACAACAAAGATAAATCTCACCAAAGTAATTTTGAGTGAAGGAAAGAAAACAGAAAGACACATACTATTTGACTTCAGTTTTTATAACTGTGAGATCAGGCTTTGCCCAGCTCTAAGTTATTCCATATTGTACAGAACAGCAGCTTTCAGGCTCTGCCTTGCCTAGTGACTCCATTTTATAAAATAGCAATTTGCTTCAATTTGAGTACAAATGCTGAGGCAGAATAACTCTACATCTTGTTTGTACAAGTAAACAACAGACATCTCTCCAGCACAAAACATGAGACAGATTGATAAGTAATTTAATTACCAAATAAAACTTACTATCTGGGAACTTATCAGATTAGGTCAGGAACACATATGGATGCATCAAAATCATGTAAGAAAAATCAGACCCGTGAGTCTATTGCACACATAAGATCAAGGAATGATGCAACACCCTCATCTGGGTCATACAAAGGTGGGCCACCTAACACAGGGTATGGCAGTACCCACGGATCTATCATCAGACCATCTGGTACATGTGTCATGGATGGACAGGTGATGACTCTGTCCCCAAGACTTTAGCTCAGCACAATCCCCATACTAGGCATGACTCACTCGAATTGCTGTCTGTCCACCTGTCCAGACTCAATGAGACCAGCCTTGTGCCTTGAAACAGGTCTGTGTTTGACCTCTCTGCATAACGAGTTTGTGCCTGGGTGTCTTATGTTAACATCTCATCGAACCACCTGTAGTGCTTCTCTTTGCATCTATATCACTTAGGTCTTAAAAAGGAAAGAAATTATAACACATAGTACAACATATGTGAACTTTTAAAACATTATGCTAAGTGAAGGAGGCCAGTTGCACAAGGTCCCATATAATAAAATTCCATTTATATGAAATATCCAGAATCCAACAGACACCAAAAACCTACCTACCTAGAGGAAATTTCATAGAGGAAAATCACTTGTGACTGCCTGCTAATGGTTACAGGGCTCTTTTTGGAGAATGATGAAAATGGTCTCTAATGATTACGGTAGTGGAAGCTCAACTCTCTGACTATCCTAAAAAGCTATTGAATTATATACTTTTCATGAATGAATTGTAGGTATTTTCCTTCTATATCAAAGATATATTACATAAAAACTGATTTTTGTAGAACAAAAAGTACCACAACATTTATTTCTCTTCTCTGTCTGGATTCTCCTTGCCATGTGAACACTGCAGCAATGAACACTAGATAAAAGATTATAATATATCTAGGTAATATTATATTTATCACTTTTTTAGCATTGCTGGTATTTTAATTTATTTATTTACACCAGCATTTAATTACTATTGTCATTTTCTAATTATATAATGGGTGCACAGTGAGTGAGTATTAAATTAATTATGACCATATGACTATCATCTCACCTCATATCATATCATATACCATATTGTCTCAACCAGACTTTTTTAAATTCTAGATTTATGCATTTTTTGTTTCTTTGGTAATGGGGGTACGTTGGTGTGCTATTTGAATTTTGCACATAGGTCTAATACTACATTTACCATTACTATAGTATTTTTGTTCTGTTTGTCCCACAGAAAATTAGAGTCTTTCATTTGGAATAATTTTGAATCATTCCATATAACTTCTTTAATTAATGTGTTAAGTAAATAGTAACTAATATAGTCACCTGAAAATTATTACTAAGTGTTTTCCTTTGCTGCCACATAAACAATATGGGCTCGCAGCTGCCTTTAACCACGGGAAGTATAAGAAACCATGGAAAGTAAATGGAATTCAATAATCAAGAAATATCACAGAAACATAAAATATTCACAACATGACAAGAAATAGCTGTCTTTCTGAGAACATTGTGGTAGGAAGCCCTCCACCGAGCTTTGCCACAAGAGGGAGGTAGAATATCTAAAATACATATCTTTAGACTGAAACACAAACCTTAGAGATTACTGACTTGGTTTCTAGTTCTAAGTAAAGAAGCTCATGAAAACAATCACCAGAGGGGGCTGTCATAAGTGCAAACCCAAGCTCTTCCAGGGTGAGGGAGAGACTGTCATTGAGTGGTACAAAAACTTGCAATCACCTCTTTTGTCACCTTATATTTTATAGTCACTTTTTTTTTGATGGGACTGGGGTTTGAACTTGGAATTTGGTACTTGCAAAGCAGGAACTCTACTGCTTGAGCCACATCTCCAGTCCTATAATCACTTCTTGAGTTTATGCTTAGCTTCAAAACATGGGTAATACCCTTCCGAAATGCTGAATCCTCCTTGCCATGTAGGAAGAAAAAAGAGAGGTGAGCAAGGCATGGTAGTAACATGCCTGTAGTCCCAGCTACTCTGGGGATTGAAGCTGTTAAGACCCGCTTAAGCCTAAGAGTCTGAGACCAGCCTGGGCAACACAATGAGACCTAATCTCAAGGAAAAAAAAATCTTATTCAGGGGATGGAGCTCAGTTGTATATCATCTGCTTAGCACGCAACAAGGCCTTGGGCTCAACCCCCGATTTGGCAATAAAAATTAAATAAGTAAATATTAATATATAATTTAATTACAAAAGAACAAATGTTTACTGCAATAGCAAATGAACAAGCTTATTATAGTGAACAGGGAGGGATAATTTTAACCTCATTCTTTTCCATTTATTTAGTAATCACTTCTGAGAATGACCAGAGAAAGTCTTTTGGGTTTACTTCTATTACTTGTCAAATGGCATCACTTCATTTTGATATCCATATTCTCTCTTCCCAACTCTTTTCTTCTTTCCTCCTTAGTGTCACTGATGTAATGCTACTCCTAGAGATGGACTGGTAAACCACATAAATGTTTGAGAGGTACTAGCATGGGATAATAGGGGTACCATGCAAGCTTTTCTATCTAAGGATCAAAGTCTCCAAGAAATGCCAACTGAGAACATGATCGAGACACATTCCATTCCAGGAGCCAGTGGGAGAGACCTGAAGGATAAATGAGCATCAGGTCACTTGATTTTCAGCCTGGTTCTAACTTTATCCTTTTCTGTCACACTGAGCATGGCAATGTAATACATTTATGAAAGTATTTGTTTATATATGTTGAAAATATTTTCTTCCAGAGAATTATTTTATTTTTCAAATAGCTCATGGGAATTTTTCTGATGAAAAAGTACCTTCAACCTTGAAGTTAAATTATTTATTACTGCTTCTAAGATTCAACTTGTGTGATATATGTGGATAAGAAATCTCTGCTTCCCCTACAGGGATCAATAGGATGTACTGGAATAAAGAGAATTCTCTACCAGCTCAGTGGAGAAACAAACCACCAATTAGTGATTGGTTTTGACTTTACCATAAACAATGTATGCATACTCTCCTTGAAATGATTTTACTCATTTAAGTACAGACTACTTAAGTTTAAACCTTAAAAAAGAAAAATATTCCAATCCTTTTTTAAAATTTATATTTAAACAACAGATTCTCTCTCTCTCTCTCTCTCTCTCTCTCTCTCTCCTGCTCTCACTCTCTTTCTCTTTACTTGGTGCTTATCTAGGGAACCCTCATGAGGAAGCTGCCTGGGGTAGGGCAGGCTAAATTTGCTGCTTTGTGGTGGAGACTTTCCCCAAGCTAAGATCAGACCAGATTTTGAGTACTGAAGCCTGATACCTCAGTTTGCTTTTGAACTATGAGACTGGTGACAGGAATTACTATTCTCCTCACTTTGGGTACGTATAGTGGGCTAGGAAAGAATGACTTGTATGCTAAAAACAAAGGAGATGTATCTGCTGCCTCTATTCTTTTCACTGTGATTATGCAAACAGTTGGAAATAATTGGGGTCTGTGTGCTTCCCAGTGGAGTTTTGAACATCACTGTGAGTGGCTTTTCACTGTGAGAGGCTGATTATAGCCTCGCAGGCTGTAAGGACTTCTGGGTTCATGGAGCTCAAGACAAGTGGAAGGTGGATAATTTATCTTTGACTTGTGGTTATGAATAGCTAGCTAACAAATAGCAACAATATTTTTCTTGTACTGTGCAACAGATGAGAATATTCAAGAATGGAGTAAGGGCAGTTAGAAGAGTTCTGGAAGTGTTTGTGAAGCTGATGTTTAGATGAACCAAGATGTAAGAGTCCAGACCTAATCTGTTGTTTCTCAATCCTTTAGGTGTTGTGACTGATTCCAAAGCCACACAGCCAAACTCAATGGAAAGCACTGAAGACGAACCTGTACACTTGCCTTGTAACCACTCCACAATCAGTGGAAATGAATTCATATATTGGTACCGACAGATTCCCCTCCAGGGTCCAGAGTACATAATTCATGGTCTAAAAGACAATGTGACCAACAGAATGGCCTTTCTGGCCATCCCTGCTGACAGAAAATCTAGTACCTTGATCCTGCCCCATGCCAGCCTGAGAGACACTGGAGTATACTACTGCATCCTGAGAGACACACACTGGGACAGTTGTGGCTGCACCTGTGCAGTATCTCCCTGGTGGGGGGAGGGAAGCTGATGCAGCAATCTAAAGAGGACACTGCACAGAATGAGCGGAAGTTCAATAGGGGAAGTAGTCCAGGAGAAAGAAAAGAACTAAAGAAAGTAGAAAAATCAAGGAGTAGCCCATTAAAGGAACTAAGAGATTGTGGAAGAAAGGCTCACATTATGGAAAGGACTGAGAAGCTTGTAAGGAGACTAATAATCACAAGCATGATCCTGTAATAAAGAGGAAAGGAATGATAACTTGCCCTGGTGCTTTTCTTAATAAAATGCTTTCTACATAGATCTCTGTAAAAAGTGTGGAGAAAATCTTTGGTTTGCTTTCTTCACTTGGACTCAAGGAAGGGTCCGGATCTGGATATTGCATTATATTAGTTCTTCCAATTGTTAGTGCTGAGATAAATGTCAAAAATTGTTGAATTTTCGCTCAAGAAAAATTTGAAATTTTCTCTTTTGCTTATCTGCCACATATTCTCCTGCAATATAATTTTCAAAAGGGAGCTACAATGAGAAAGATATTAATTTCACTTTTAATGTGTGTTGAAATATATTTGTTATCAATCAAAAATACAAAAGAGTTTTTCATTGTAAAGGTCTGGAGTTATTACATAAGTATATTGAGCAAAACCTGAAATCCCAAAACCACTTCCCGTCACCACCCTCCATTTCTTCTACTTATTGTAACCTATTTAGACAGTTTGGAGTGCATCCTGATAATCATGTTGCTTTTCACTTTCATGAATACTTATAAGTAGCTACCAATTTTAGTACATAAATTAGATTATATGACATACTTTTCTGCAACTTATTTGTATTGTTTCACTTAAAAATGATTGAGGTGTTCTCATATCAAGATATACATAATTCTTCACAGTACCTGAAAATCGCTTCATAGTGAACATGAACTTAACTTGCTCACACGTGAAAAATGTTTAAATTCTTACTTCTAGTGTATAACCTAAAAGAATCATATTTTTATATATCCTTTTTTGAGACATGGTTTTGCTGTGAAGCCCAGCTTGGCCTCAAGCTGCCTCGGCTTCCTTAGTTATGGGATAAATGTATTTGTCACCACACCTGATCATATATGTTCATTTCTTATAAATGTCTAGACTGGAAATTTCTTATATGATTTTTTGTAGTTATTGAAAAGTTACATTTCAAAATGAATCTAACATCTAAACAACCAATAATAGGACCACAAAAACCTATTTCTTTACTTTTTAGGTAGTATTATTATCTTTTTAAGTTTTGTACAGCTTGAAATTCCTTTGCTGTTATTTTCATTTGTATTTTATTTGTATTTGTTTTTTATTTGTATTTTATTTGTATTATTACTAGTATGGTTGGCAATATTCCCCTTTGTTGGCTCTCTGTGACTTCACTTTCATAGTATGCTGAATTGTTTTTAACCCAGTCCTGAATAGGTTGCCTTTTTCTTATTTATTTGTGAAAATTCATTTATAATAATGTAAATTATTTTCTTGGCATATATATTGCATGCACTCTCTCAAATATAGTTTTAAAGGTGTTTTGCAACTTTTATCACGGACATTATTTTATATCATCAAATGTGGACATTCTAAGACACACTTTTCCCATTCTGGTTGATAAATCTAAATTCTGATATTTTCTTCTATTCAAGAATATGCATTTAGAAAGGCTGGGAGTGGTCAGAGAACTGGGAGCTGAAAGCTATTCTAGGGTTTAGGTATTTGATAAGGAGTGACAGAACTTTCCATCAAAATGGAAGAAAGCAAAATGGCAGATAGCTGTGGGAGCCTGAGACACTGAGCTCCAGGAGTTCAGAAAAATACTTCAAATTTGTGGTGGTAAGGATCAGGAAACTGCCTTTTTTTGCCAACTAAGGTACATCCAATACATAAGGTGCACATAATATTCAGTGACCTACCCTAAAATTAGATTTTATAGCACATAATACCTGGCACTGGGACAAGCAGCAGCTGTTTTTCTATGGCTGAAAAGCTGTTTCTCCCCTTCTTTGCATGCCTTCTTTTCTTCTGTCTTGAAATTTTGAAAATCAAAAGTACCCTGCAGAGAACTGCAGAACAAGCATCTGGGATGTCCTTGATCTACGATAATTTGTGGATACAGAACTTGCCAGTGCCAACCAATCTCTGCCATTCCACAGGTGAATGTAACTGCATTCCTGTCAGGTGAGCATAACACATCTGCTCTGGAGGGAACTACTTTATAAAGACAGACAGATTGCACCACCCCCATCAAAACTGGTAGCTAAATAAATAAAGGGAATATTGCATCTCTGCCTTGTGGGGGTAGGGCAGAATTCTGAGCTGAGACAGCTGGAGGGGTGCGGATTCAGTTGCTGTCTGGTGAAAACAAAACATTCCACCATCTTGGAGAAACTGGTAGAAGATCAAACTGACAAACATCCAAGAGAAATGTGATGAATCAAAAACCTCAATTCTAGCTCCCTGTCCTGCCCTGTGGGCAGAAGGGGCTAGCAATTGCTCACATACCAGCTCCTCATGGGACCACTTCCTAGAACACTCATACAGCAGAAGGCCCATCCCACCAAGCCCACCAAGCCTGGGTTCAAACACCTGGAGCTGATCAAAAGCTGTCTGATAGGCAGGGGCAACATCCATTGTCATACAGCTCAGCATACCAACCTTAAAAAGGAGCAAAGATACAAACAGAGACCCTGTCAAAAGAGTCAGCACATGGATTTGAAATCAGAGGAAAAAATTCAGAAAATTCATTGAATTGATTGTTTTTTATTTAGTATTTTTATTTTTTATTTTTTTCTTCAATTTATCATTATCTCCCTTTTTCACTCTATCCAATTCTCAATTTGCTTAGCCCTCCTTTTCTCTCACCCTGTTTAGAATTTTTCTTTTCTTTTTCTCTTTCATCTTTTCCTCCATTTTCCTTTCCTCCTTCCTTTGTCCCTTCCTTAACTCCCCACTGTCCTATACCCTCCAAACTCACCACCCACTGATAGTCTATTATACCAACTTTACATGTTATCCTCCATCCTTCGCATTCCTCTGCAATCCCTGATAATAGCATCCTACCCCCAACAATTGAAATAATCCTTTTCACACTTTAGGGCCTTATAAGCCTATAGTCCCTGCACCTCACACCTCTTTTCCCCCTTGCCACATCCTCCTCCCTGTCCTCTCTTCTAGTACTATCTTGTTAATTACCTAAATGTCTGTCTTTATCCAAACAATTGTTATCTCCCCAGTCCCTGCTGTTGATAGATAATATCACCAAGGGGTTCCTTCTACATTATGCAAATAACTGGTTTGTCATTGAATTTGTGAATTTGTTATTGCTAAGTTATACCTCTGGGTCAGGGAACAGAAATATTGTAACAACCTAGCTGACAACTAAGCTAGACAGAGCATAGAAATGAAAATAAGGTAAAGATGACAGGTGACTAAAACACTCAACTAACTAATCAATAATACATGAGCAATGCACAAAATAGAAACATGGAAGGAAGGCAAGGGAAATGACTCCTCAAAAGACTAACAAGAATGTAATAGATGATTTGGTGGAAAGTGAAGAGGATGAATCCCCAGTTGCCCACCTCAGAAGAATGATGATAAGAATGTTCAATGACCTTAAAGAGTAGTATAAGGAGAACAAGCAAAAAACAGCTCAATGAATAGCAAGAGAACACAGATCAAAAAAACACAAGAAGATGCATAAACAACTAAGTGAGCTCAGAAAGGATTTCAACAAACTCCAAAACAAAATTAAGGAGCTGTTTTAAAAATATATATATATGAGATCAAAAAGACAGTATCAAATATGAAAGGGAAGTATAGCAAAGATATGGAAAGTGTCAGAAAAAAAGAATCAAACTGCAATCCTGGAAATAAAAAGTCCATTAAATCAAATAAAAAATACAGTTGAAAGCTACTCCAGCAGAAAGGAATAAGTGGAAGACAGAAGTTCAGGATTCAAAGACAAAATAGATATTAAAGAAAAAAACAGAAGAATTCTTAGATAAAACACTCAAGAGCTATGAAAGGAATATGTAAGAACTCTGTCACTCCATGACCAACCAAACCTGTGAATCATGGGCATCAAATGAGAAGAGGTGAAAAAACCAAAGGTATACATAAGAAGTTCATCAAAATTATAGTAGACAGTTCCACAAATCTTGAGAAGAAGATGCCATTCATGTATCTGAACAGCCTCCAGGACACCAAACAGACCTGACCAAAACAGAACCTCTCCATGGCATATTATAGTTGAAACAATTAACACAGAAAATAAGGAAATAATATTGAAAGCTGTAAGAGATGAAAATAAAATAACATATAAAGGTAAATCCATTAAAATAACAGCCAATTTCTCAGCAGTAACTTTAAAGCAAGAAGGGCATGAGACACTTCAATCAGTGAAAGAAAACAATTTCAGTCCTAGGATACTCTACCCAGCAAAATTATGATTCAAAATTAAAGGAGGGCTAAGAATCTTCCAGGATAAACAGAAACTGAAACAATACATAACATTAAGCCACCACTACAGAAGATTCTGAAAAGAATCCTACACACAGAAGATGAAAACAAGCATAGTCACAAAGGGTGGGAATTATGAAACCTCAAGAAGAGTAAACAAGTAATCAGAGAGTAGCATAGAATTACTTGCATGCACATAAATCCTTACACATCAAAAACAGCTAAATAGCAGGAATCACCACATTCCTCTCAACACTGACACTGAAAGTTAATGGCCTCAATTCCCTCATCAAACATACTGATTAGAAAAATGGACTAAAAAGGAAGACCCCACAATATATTGTTTACAAGAAACTCATCTTACAGACAGAAGCAAACATAGCCTTACGGTGAAAGGTTGAAGATTTACCAAGCTAATAGTTCCTGAAAACAGGCAAGAGTAGCAGTACTTATATTAGATGAAGTAGACTGCAAACCTACTTCAAACAAAGTTTGATACTAATAAAAGGAACAATGCATCAGGAGGAAATAATTGCC